CTTTGAGAACCTAGAGAGTATAAGTTTATTGTTATCATCACTTAACATTTTCAGTTAAAACTGTTTCTAGGAATATATTTTGGGTTAATTACTTTAAACATTAATTTTAGGTTGAATATTGTTATATATATAACATTCCCTTCCATTTCTAATTTTCACCGACCACCATTGGCATATATACATGGTTTTGTAACATTATTTAACATGATATTTATGAATTTAAATGTAATTAAACTATTATTATTATTATTATTTTGATATATTGAAAATGAAAGATTCGGACCAATCAATAATAAAATATATGTACTAATTATTGAATCAAATATTAGAAGTGTAGTTGAATTATTTTTGGATACGAATACATATATATATTTAATATATTCCTAGATATATATATATATATATATATTATGGTTGCAACTTTTATCATCAAATAAATATTGAAATGGCAAAGACAAACTGCACGACACCATATATAGGCACCTCTTCCATTAACTTGCTATTAATTCTTTGAGAGACTTCCTAGCTAATTATAAAGTTAAGGAAATTTTCCAATTTCCTTAAGATACATAACCATTTTCCATTAAAGAGAGACTAAGAGAGAGAGAGAGAGTGAAGAAATAACACACACACACACACACAAAAAAGAAATAGATTTTCTTTTTTACACTTGTATTCTTCAAAATGGAGTGAGCGGGTTGGGAAAATTAAAAAAAAAATAAAAAATAATTCAAAACGTAATATTTGGTTCAATTCAAATTGATTTATTGTTTATTAAGTTGGAGTAATTAATCTTTCTTATTTGGTTCAGTTTTGGTTTATAAATTTAAAAATAAAATTATCCAACTTAAATTGTATTTTTATTAATATTTAATTGTTTTTAGTATTTTGTAAAATTATATATTTTATTTTAAAAAACATATAAATAAGTTAAAAATAACATTAAAATAAAAAATCAAACTTTCAAAAATTATGAAATTAGATCGATAAAATACAATTCATGTCAATTTAAGACCGTTATTCTGTTTGGTTTCTAAAAAAAATAGAATGTTGCACGGTAACTGTAAAGCTAACCATATTTGGAGAGTCTAACGCGGATAACCAAGTTTGATTTATTGCGCACCTTCGTCTAGGAAAATGCACGCAAAATAAGATGTGATTGAAAGGAGAAAGGGAAAAGAAAGGAAAGTAGGGCAGGTGCTACTGCTAGGATTGCTCACGGGAGGCTAAGAATTTGCACAGTTATTGCCTTATTGCCTGCAGCTGCAAAGGCACCTTGGAGAGAGTATATAGACTTCCCTTCTTTGAAACATATGTCCCCACCGCCCACATGTGGGAATTGAATACCACAACAAGGGTATTTTCAAATTCAAACAAAATATTTAGTAATTTTAATGAATTATAATCAAACAATTTTTAATGCGAAATGAACATCAACTGCTTACAGCATTTTTTTTATTATTATTTTGGAACTCTGAATCATGCTGTTCTCATTGTTAACGATTCCATTTTCTTCTTACAAAAGATTGTCTAATTTTGTATTGAATTGGCAAAAAAGTCAAGGCTTTTATTACCCAAATTTGTCACTCATATAATTAAGTTCATGAGTTCATATTTATGGCAAATTTTCATAGATATAACAGCTATATAATGGTCGAGATGGGCCAATTCTTGAATCTTGTCAACAAAGTTTTGGCAAAAATTCAAGCATGGACTCTCGCAAATTTATTGTCATGTTTTCTAGTGATCACCTTCAATATGATAGGCTATATATAGTTTTGTCATTGTTATTAATTGTTAACATGCATATGGCCACCGGGTGTGGGTTATCATCTGAGAATTTGACTGCCTTTGCCTTTGTCTCTTTAAACCGTCCTTGAAGGCACCAATAATTTCAGATGCACCCTGAAACCAAATCATAAACACTGTTCTAAAAGTAACATTGCCATTGAAAATAGTTGCCAAAATTCTTCCGAATCTAGATGCAGTAGTAAATCTGCTTTTTTGGCTGAAGCTGCTTTTATTCTTGTACTAGGCTTAGCAAATCACTTTGGTGAGCAAGAAGGGTTGGACAATATCTGACTGACAACTTTTACAAAAATATTACCAAATAAAACAGCTTTTGGGTGTTTAAGGGCATGACCCATGTATCATTTCTATCTTCCTTTTGTCCAAAAGCAGAGAAAATTAAACATGAACCACTAATTTTGCCATTTCAAAGGTATGCAAAAAGATCCATTTTCCCGATTTCTCAGGGACGTACCATTTATTCTTGCATTGAATTTGAAGCTTATTACAAAATGCTGGCCTGAAAGAAAATTAAAAAAAAAAAAAAAAACCTGTGAATGAATCAGTCTAAGATGACAAAATTAAGTGGTACAATATTGTAAAGGTAGTGTCAAAATCCCTACAGCATGATGAATACATCACTATTTCACTAGCATAGGGTTTTGGACCCCATCTCTCAAAGATGTCCCTCAATTTTGCGTCAAAACTATTCATATACTTAATTTTCTTTTTCCACTGTCGTGAATTTTCATTTCTTGATCAATGAATGATGAAGCATTAATGTTATCACAGAGCAAATCCCACCACATATATACAAAGAATTTTAGCCAACAAAATGTGATCTTTTATAATAAAATATTAAATTCTTAATTTTAGTGATTCAATTAAAATTTTAATAATTTCAAATATTATAAAAATCACAAAGAAATTTTTTTTCATTTTTTCATATTTGGCCTAAAATGAAAAACTTTCATATCAATTTACGGTAGTGGAAATAAAAGAGAAAGAGTTACTATATTTTTATATCTAAAATTTGAAAAAAAATATACAAATTACTATCTAAAAAAAATAAATATACATTTTACACCCTGATTATATATATTAAGAAATCTTTTCCAGTATTTACCAAGCTAAAGTAATGGCAAAAAAAAAAAAAAAGCTAAAGTGAGCAGAGTAATTGACAGTAGCAAACCTTTCAGTTTATTCAATAGCTGTAATTTCAGAATGTAAGGTGCTGGTGCAATCAATCGGTAGGGTTTTCTAGTGGTTATATCAAAGATATATATAATATTGAATTGATTTTCAATTCTTTCATCTAGAATTGAGAAGCTTATGAAAAGGGAGAAAGGTTCCCCTTTATATAGTACTTTCACTATTAAAAAAATGCCCTTTATATAATACTTTCACTCTTTAAAAAAAATAAACAATTGAAGGTCTTAGACTCTTAGATGCCTTGCAATTCATGCCCTAAATTTAGGGTTGCTATTTTAGGGATCCAAAGATAGGAGTAGGTGTACTATTCTATATGCAAACAAACCAAAGATCACAAGTTTATAGTAGACAAACGCGTTGGTTGATTTAAAATAATGGAAAACCAAGCTTTTTAATTAAACGATAAGTTTTGATTTGGCCCCATAGCCGCTCCTTCAAAAGGAGAATTTAAAGATTATAAATGCCCTTTTAATTCAAATCAGAGAACCAAAATGGTCTCCCAAATTCAACAATTAAAACCTGGAAATTGAATGTATCTTTGCAGACATTCAATTTCCTAACTCTTTTAGTGACAAAAAAAAAAGTGCCGGGAAATACTTGTCATTTCAAAATTTCAATGCATGCTTATTATGTAGTCAAAAAATATGAGATAGAGAGAGCTTAAAATCTTCCAAGCATTGTTGCAAGGGCGTCCCTGATATTCCCTGATTTCATTGCCTAATCGAGTAAATTTGCAAAAGCAAAAGGTACAGATGAAGACAATAACATGATGAACTGAAAAAAACATCCACCCAAGGAAACATCAGCAATGCCACTAAAATATAATTCTGTATTATCAGTAATGATTACTTTATTTAGTGGTGATGGATGGATCATAGTGGTAATAATTTTTTGCAGAAAACCACGTAATTTTGCTTCTAGAATTTAAACTGCTTTTTCATTCCGAGTCAAACAACTCCAATTTTGAAATTTTGAGTTAGTTTTTTCAATTTTTTTGAAAAATAATTTAAATATTCAAAATACTAGATAATGTTTGATATGAAATAATCATTTTAAAAATTATAGTAATTTATATATAATAATTATATCACTATATTTGATAAACACTTAGTGATTTTATGTGATAATGATTTTAGATAATTTAGAGTGATTAAATCACTTATCTTGAAGGTAGTATAATTCTCTTATAAAAAAGTATAAAACTTTCATCATCATGATAAAGTGACATGTAAAATTAATAATAGTAAATTTTACTCATTTAGCATGTGGATTAAAATTTTATTACATTTTAAAATTAAAATTTTTATATTTTTAAACTAATATTTGTTATAATAAGTTCAAAATAATTTTTATATATTTTTAATATTTTATATAATATAATTTTTTATTTATTTTATTATCAATTTAATAGATTAGTTTTATTTTTTTAATTTAAATATTTTTTGATAATTTATATTATAAAAATAAATTTATCTATCAATAAATATATTTAATAATTTAATTAAATTTTATTATAAAATAAATAAATATTATTAATATTTTACAAATTATTATTTTTAAATAATTATAAAATTATTAATTTATGTAACTATTACAACATGCATAATTATTTTTATATTTTTAAATAAAATAATATTTAAAATTTAATAATATCAGATATAATAATTTTTAATTTTTAAAAATTAATTATTATTAATAAAATAAAATAATTTTAAATCATAAATATTTAAATCATCTTAATAATAAAATTATTTCGATAATTATATAATGATAACTTTATAAAAATTACCAAACGCTCTCCTAAAGTTTTGTTTTTACCGTGGTTAAACCGATTCTACTACCAATTTTCTTGCACCGACTAACAAGTCACCGAACAGGTGTCATAAATATATATTATAATGATGATGATGATAATGATTGAAGAGATGATAGCATTGGCATAGGCATTAAAAAAAAAAAACTACTTGTTAGCGCAAATAGTCCCAATGGGAAAGGAAAAACAAGAATGAGAGAGAAGAAGAAAAAGAGGAACAAAAGCACCTTCATAGAGGGCCCATAACATGTCTCCTCAGTTAGACCCAAAGATGTGATTTTCATCTTTCTCTCCACTGCACTATCCCTATTCTTTCACCTTTTCTATTTTATTATTATCATTTCGTGCCAAAAATACCCAAGAATTCCTCTGGAACAAAGATCAATTCCAACTAATCATGTTAGGTGAAATAGCCAAAGATTCTGCTGAAGGGTCTTCACGATCCTCCGGTAACCACCACCACCACCACCAGCCTCAGCCGGCTCCTCTGAGCAGGTATGAGTCCCAGAAACGGCGAGACTGGAACACTTTTGGGCAGTATTTGAAGAACCAGAGGCCTCCAGTTGCACTATCACAATGTAACTGCAACCATATTCTTGATTTTCTTCGATATCTTGATCAGTTTGGGAAGACTAAGGTTCACCTACATGGTTGTGTCTTTTTCGGACAACCTGACCCACCCGCTCCTTGTACTTGTCCACTAAGGCAAGCTTGGGGGAGTCTTGATGCACTGATCGGACGCCTGAGAGCTGCTTATGAAGAGCATGGTGGGGCACCGGAGAGTAACCCTTTTGGAAATGGAGCAATTCGGGTTTTTTTGCGTGAAGTGAGGGAGTGTCAAGCTAAGGCCAGAGGGATTCCATATAAGAAGAAAAAGAAGAAGAGGAAGAATCAAATTAAACCCAACGTCGACGAGGCTAAGTCTTCAATATCCAAGCGGCAGGCCTCTTAGCTCTAGGTAGGAGCTTTGACTTCTCCACACAAATGGTAATTCTTTTCACTTTTGGATATAAATATATTATGAAACCCATGATCAGTTTTTTCCTTCAAAATTAGTTTCTATTTTTGCCCTCAAAATCTACCAGCATAAGTAAAAAAAAATTAAAGATAAACATATATAATTCAGCTTAAATAAATTCCAGAATAAAAAAAAAAAAGTTGCCTGAATTATTAGATGAAAAAAATTGGAACTGATTAGTCCATTAGGTAACTATATTAATAGTGTATCTTAGAACCAAAAGAACATAGTATTATAAGGTGGGGATTTTATTCATTGGTAAAACCCTAAACCGTTTACTGCAAAACCCTAGTTCTAACACTCACCCTTCGAGTCCTTTGCAGTAGTGAAGAAGTGTGGTAATAAGTAATTTTATCTCAAAATTTTTTACCCATCTCTTACTATTACGTGCTATAATTGAAGGAGAAATTACCCCCCTCTCTCTCATTAAAAAAAAAAAAAGAAAAACACTGTTTTTTGTGGTTTCCTAATTAAATATTTCTCGGCTCTTTACTTTTCCCCTTGTTTTTTTGGCTCTTTTCTGATTCTGCTCGATTATGCTCCCCATGAATGTCCATGTTGATACATATATCATACTTCTCATGTGAAATTTATATTTTCTCAAACGATGTGGAAATTGAAATTGAAATTGGAATTTTCATTATTAAAAAAAAAAGAAGCATATTGTAATTACCTTCAAGGATTTCTCGATCGTACAAGGTGGTACAAAATTATTTTATATATATTAATCTTCATGGGGTGGTACCAATTGTTACTAGTTGTTAATAAATTAAAATCATTTGTTTGATTCTCAGCGTATGTGGCTGATCAGCTCCCTTGTTTGATTGCTTACTTAAAAATTAATGAAATGCATATCAAAAGATTGTGCTAGCAAGGCATCACGTATACATTTTTAATTTCATGAATCTTTAATTTGTAATGGTGTAGCCTGTCTATACTTGACCTGGACATAACTAGATTATGTTTCAATGGGCGGACTTGCATTTGTCCTCAAGCTGTAATCTAGTGGGACATATCATCAATTTAAATTGTCAAAGATTAACTATATATTTGTAGCAAGTACTGCAATTAACATATTTTATGAGAGCTTAAACATGCGTTTGACTAAGCCAACAGTTTGAGTTAGATGCAGAGCTAAGACAAGCGTCCATGCTTTTGAGTTAGTTTTTGCTGGGAGCTTTATTGCTAAGAGCTTTGTCTTAACTTTTTCTAGGGGAGGAAGATGCATTACCTTTCAAATAAAGAAAAATGAAAAGGGAGAAAGATTCAACCTTATTAAATCTAATTACATATATATATATATATATGTTGTTTCTTTTCCTTTGTTTTTGGGTACATTGGAGAAAGCTTAAAGAGGAAAGATGATTTGAATTTTAAAACTCAACACTCTTAAGAAGATAAACATTGGTCTAAATCTAATCAAGTGATTTAAAATGACAATGATCATGAGTTTATAGAGGTGCTTAAGATTTCCTTATTTCTTTTTGGGAGGATATGTATTAATTTAGACAAGCTCCCAAATTGAAAACCTCATGATTTGGTAAATACTATATATATATATATATATATATTCATTTCAGGACCATTAATGTATATATTGCTAGGTGCATTTGCATGTTCATGAGTACTTTCTTTAATTTGGATTTTGGATTGCTATATGTATATATTAAAACTATAAGTAAACCTATTAATCATGGACGAAGACCTTAAGACTTGAGTATTCACTTGCAGTTAGTAACTGAATTCTTCACAGGAAAAAAAAAAGGGCATCTTGAAATAATATAAGCCTCGCAATTCATTTTACCAAGGGTCAAACAAAAAGATGTAAACCTTAAAAATTTGTGACCACTACAGCTAAAGAGTGTTTACTAGGGGTCAAGACTATTAATAATCCAAAATATTTAAAGAAAGGATAAGATCATAATCTGATATGCCCCTTTGCTAGCCCAAGCCCCTGATTGTGATAGTGGTTTTTGGAAAGCTTAAGAGCTGGTTGAAGTATTACACTTTTGGATTTCGATCTTAACTATGTTTCGGTGTACGTGGGAATAATACATTTATTTGAATTCTGAATTATTAAGTAGAGAAAAACAGATATACTGTTCTTCATTAGTTTAAATATTAGTAACAAATGCCTGTGAATGCCAACTAGCTTGAGCCTCGAAGCAAGTTGAGTTGAGATCGTACACTGTACAAACCTGCGCATGCATTTAAAGCCATCAGCACCAAAAAAAAAAAAAGCTACTGCTATTACAGACTTTGGCTTGAACTGAATCCAATACAAGGAATATCAGAGAGAATAATACAGTACAGCTACTTTTTTTTTCCTGCACTTTCTTATGTTTTCTTTTTGCTCTGATAGTACGGAGGCTAAAATGAAAAATTGACTTAGGAAGACCAAATTTAAGAATTTGATTCCCAGTTTTTTTTTCCGTATTATATATTTCCTTTGGAAAGCAAAACAGTTTGGTCTGATCTAGAGAGAAATAGCTAGCCAGAGTCCCTAGGAATAAGGAGATAATATACATGAGGAACCTAACTATACCTAGTTGGGGAGATTTTTTATGCATTTGCGGCCTTAGACTTTTGGATCATTTCACCACCCCCGAAAGGTTTTTACGAAAAGTTGGAATATTCAGATCGACATTGCTACGGCGAACGCTATGCTCCTAAATGCAATTTTAGTTTTAGTCATTTATTCACAAGATATCTGTCAAGAGTTATTTTTTGTTAAAAAAAGTGGTCTTGCTAATGTTTGAGAAAGAGTGAGAGGGAATAGAGGTTGCTTTACTGAGAAATCATCTTCTTCGTTATTTAAAAATTAGTGGAAGTTTTTAGTATTTTATTTAAGGCTGATAAATGCATTTCCATTAGAATTTAATAATTTTAAATTAAATATAAAAATAAATGAAAATTAATTCAAAAGATAAAAATAATTAAAAGTGCATTTATCAACTTTAAATGAAGTGGTGGAAACTTTTACTTGTTTTTAAGTAGTGGAGAGTATCTCTCCCTGTTTTATTCCCCCACCCTCCTCCTAGAAGCAGCTGATTATTTAATGTTATTTAATGTTATGAGGATGTTGATTCTTTAATATTGTTAAGAAGATGTTGATTCTTTTCCTGTTTTCCATTTTGCCCAGAAATTGCTTTGTCAAGTACCATATTGTACCTTGCTAAGTATTCGCCCACCCTCCTCCTAGAAGCAGCCAGATTATTATATATACTGGTTTTATCCTATTGCATTTATAGATAATAGAAAGAAACTTTCCCTACCGGTTAGACAAGTGTGTGTGTGTGTGTGTATACAGACTGAGAATGAGTCAGTCAATGTCGATACTCAATATAGTCATTTCTTTTATTAATTTGGATATATATATATATATATATATATAAGATAGAGAAATTAATATGAAAAGAAATTAACGTTAGAACATTCGTTGCTGCAGGATGATCAACTAGTATTCACCAAAGAAGCTAGCAAAACCAGAGGGGAGGGGAAGGGAAGGGTATACAAAAAAAAGCCAAACGTTTGAAGTTAATGTAGCATTACCACTATCTAGTACTGCTTTAATTAATGTTAAGGTTTCTCTCGCTTTGCATGAAGCACTTACAAAGTTGTATACCTAATAATGTTTGTTGTCATAGCAAAGCTTGTCTCAGATTTTAGTTCTCGTGCTATATATTACCATTTAGTTAATTATCATTAATTACATTGTAAGGTATATATATAATTACATCTTAGACATAAATGAAGGTTATAGAAATATTATCATTGCCGAAGATTTGTTTATGGGCCAACTGCGAGCAATGAGCTCACGAGAGGCCATTGTCTGCCCCATGTCATCCAAAGCTCTTGAGACCAAGGGATGAAAAAGGGCGACGATGCATGACACCCAAACAGACGTGTGTAGTAAAAGCCGTTTAACTGTAGTTACTTGTCACTTCTTTAAAGCAAGATGAGAAGTGGGTTTTCTCTTCTGCCTAAATTTGCAGTTAGGTTGGTCGAGACTGTATTGTATGTTTGAGGAAGATCATAATGGTGTTGAACAAGATATATCTTCCCAACGACCTGAAGCAATAGTAATATACATTATTTTACAGTCCAGCGGTAGGTTTTTTTCGCCTTAGCTCTAAGGTATGACGAGGAACTCTTAGTGATTGAAGGGGATTTGATTGATATGAAGTTAAAGTTAACTCTTGATTAAGTTAATATGCTAAAGAGTTCTTATGGCATCAAAATTTGTTTTGGTCAATATAATAACGAAGAGTAGCAAAAGTATTTCTTTTCTTTTGGCCAAAGAAGTAAAAAGTATTTAAGTGCGACGACAGGAGTGGTTTATGGAGTTTACACGAATTTTTTATAAGCTATAATTTGAATTTTATTTTTACCATATTCCCGATCTTATAAACAATTTTACCAACCAACATCTTGTGAGCTACTGAAAATGTCAATACAAGCATCACCTGTTAAGCCAAGTGGCTTGATATAGACACGTGGCTTGTCGTATCGACTTGTGCGATACGTTTAAACAAAAATAAAATCTCGTTCAAGAAGTCAATCAGCCCCAAATATTGAGTCAATACGTTTTAAATTTGAAGGGTGAGATTTTTCGTGCTCACAGTCTAACGCAGATGTCAATAGAACATGCCACGTATGTGAATTAAGCCTCGGGGATTGACAAGTGACACTTGCGTGGATACCGTCGTTTGCTCACACTTATTTCACATGTTGATCGAACATGCCACGTTGATTGACAAGTGGTGGTTGCATGGATTTCTTCATTAGCTATTTGTTTGATAAAAGGATAGAGGGTGATTTTTTTTTTTTTTAAACAAAATCTTTTAGGTAACGGATAGAAATGATACATCTAAATAAAAGATTGTTGACTAGGAATGAATTTTAGTCGGTTTTACGATACATATAGCTCTTAAATAATCAATCAATCGTGAAAAAGAGAGACTAGGTTCCATGCATCTTCCATGTGACGAAAGATGTCAAGAGATCACATTAACACTTTATTTAGTCGGACATGCATCCTAGTCTTAGCCTTGGGTTATATTTACCATCAAACTATTGTACCACAGATATCCGCAGGAAGCGACAAACTGCTTTAGTTTCTTTCAAATGGCGATTGCTATCTGGCTGGCATATCAAGGTCAAGGTTTTAGCTGAATTAAATAGAAATGGGAGACCAAGGGTTTTGGCTAAGCACAGCTTTGTGAATACAAGGATACAGCCTAATGTTGTGTACATTGCAAGAAGAAACAAACGACTTACAGAAGCTAACAAGTTAGAGACCCACCAACTAAAACAAACGACATTTGGACCAAATGTAGGCCCAGTTCAACATCCCAAAATAAATTAGATTGAGTTCAGTTCTTTATGGCCCCCAAAATAAGGGGAAAAGGCAAAAGAAAGAAAACTTTAAACAACTCTGGCATCCTTATCTGCCAACTACTGGTTAGGCCAGTATCAGGTACAACTATATATATACTTTCAACGGATGAGAATTAAATCAATATTCTTCATGTTTTTCCCAAGCAAAAAACAGTCAAATCTCTTTCCCATATGGCTAGCTATAAATATCTGCAAAAAAGAAAAATGGGCCATTTTTAGAGATCAATTCTACATCCAAAAATGATATTTAAAAATGCAAAGCTGTCCAGGAGATAATACATTGAAAATACAATCAAAAGTAGCCCATGTATACAACAAATACACCTCATTTCCTTGAGCATAAACACGAAGGATGCATACATCAAATCTAGACTCAATACTTATGTAGGCCCAGAAACGTTCTACATACTTTGCCACGGAAATATCACACAAGAAAACCTGAACAAGGCGATTAGATTTTGAAAAATCAATCACTCAAGTAATGGTGTCCCTAAATTAGATAGCTACACTACCATTATGCTAAGCATAGCTGAATGGAAGACTTTGAAAGAAAATACAGCTTATCAATCCCGAAATTACATGCAAAGATGAAGAGATACAGACAGGGTAACAGAGTACAGAAAATACCTTTGTGGTACATAAAAAAAAGTGTATCCAACATCTTTCCTAAAATAAGTCGAGGACTCCACAAACAGACCATAATTATAACCATGACTATTTGACTAATTCATGACAAGCTTAAAAGGATCCTTAAAAGTTCAGCTTCAGTACCATTTATCATGAATCATATCCAAAAACAAGCTTATATTGCAAAAGGCAAGGATCAAAATTGGTAGTTTTTTAGTACCTTTTTTTTTCTGACCCGGGAAATGTAACATTTTTAGCCATACAGAAAAGTGACAGAGAAAGCATCAGGCTGTGCTATATGCGCCACATATATGGGACCAATTTAAATGCTAAAGTATATTTAGCTCTTGACAAGTATTAACATGCTTCTTAGCACATCATATTGTAGGTAAAGACAGCCAACAACCTCTATCAGCATACCAGCAATGGAGAAACATCCATTTTTTGCTGACACGCCATGAAAGTAAATGAGAAGGTCAGATTAAAGTTGATCTGAACACAAGCCTGAACCTGATCAGTCTGCAAGCAAGTTACACAACCTTAAACACCCACCCCTGCTCCTACTTTAGATATAAATAAATTCTTTTTAAAATATCTAAAAACCTTTCAACTAAATAGTCACCTGCTGAGCGAAAGACATAAGGCTTAACACACCAGAACATTCCAAATACAAATATTTCTATAGAATTAAGGATATCATGAGAGCACATTTAACAAAATGGAAAACCCCCAATTAACCGACAGAACAGGCAAGATTTCAAATCATACATGTTTAGAGGAGCATGGAGTGACAAAATTTATCACCTTATTCTCTCAACCTGCAAAACGAAATACCTGTTCCATATCATAATGACATAAACATTCAACAATATACTTAAAGGTAAGAAAAACAAGGGTCAAACTGAAATCAATATCAACCAATGCACCTTGTATCAAATACATGAAGGGAAACCAGGGATACATGCAAGGTTCAACATTAGACACATACAAGACTGTAATAGACCATGCATCAGCCACGATCTACAGTCATTTATATTTAAACAAAGGTTTCACCAGAAAATAATGAACACATTCCAAGACAAGCATTGAAAGAAATGACAGCAATGCCACGGCCTTTGAAAAAGAAAAGCATACAAGAATCATTGAAGAATTAAATGTTGTTATTTATTGTACAAATATACCACAAAATTATCCAAAATACTCATCCATGAATGAACATTACTCCTTTGTATCAAGTAATCAAGTCATTCAAAGATCATCTTAAAAACAGTTTTTTTACTGATATCAACCCCCACCGGCCAGTTCCCTCTAGGGTCGTCTATCAAACAAAGCAAACATGACACACAACAAATTGAGTAAAACGGTTCATTACCAACATTAAAAGTTACTGCTTTGAACATCTTCAAGTTTCTTATGCTAGAAGCTTAATAATAGACACTCCAAACAAAATGAGGGTACTCTCACACACTTCCTCAATCACCAAAAAACAAAATCCCATAAGAATCAGCATTAATTCAACAAATTAAAACCCCTTTTATTTCATTGCTAGATAATGATAAAAAACACACTAAAACAACTAATCAAGAAAAATTAATGTTTTTAAAATCCAACAATATCTAGAAAGCATAAACATAAATGAATCTATTACAAGAAAATATACATTTTACTCTATCAAATAACAAAAACAATTAATACATATAAAGCTAAAGACAGTTTTTTAAGAGGAAGAAAATGCCTCACCACTGGAAGCCGAGGATCGTTTGCCACGCTTGATCCTCTCCAGCTGCACCTGTGTATCCATAAACATCCTCATCCTCTGCACTTCCAAATCTTTAGCAAATTGCATTCTTTGCTTCTCCAATTCCACCATCTGCCTCAGCTTCTCCCCTTCCACCTTTTCATATACTTGCCCAAACCTCTCTATCGCTCTCGCCAATCTCTTCATCCCTTCCCTCTCCTCTCCTTCTCCTTCACTGTCCTCTCCCTCGCTTTCCTCTCCCTCCTCCTCATCACTTCCCACAGCAGCAGCAGCCGCCGCAGCCGCAACGGCCGAATAATTTCTCCTGAAATACCCATCGTCCGACGCTGGCCTCTTCTGCGGAAGGGCGACAACCGTGGCCGACGCCGGAGTCCTCCCGTACGGCATAGGAAGAGGGAGAGCCGTAGGAGGAGACCCCGGGATCCTCGGTGACAACCTCGGGGATGGCTTCGGTGATATCTTAGGCGACGGTAAAAGCTTTTTAGCGGCGAAATTGGATCCGATAAGAACATCCAAGCGTTCGAAGAAAGGCCATGACGACCCTAGGGTTCCGTTAGAGGAGGCAACACGAGTTTTCTCGATCTTGTACTTTTTCTTGATGGTATCAATGCGGTTCTTGCACTGAACATCCGTACGGTGCGTCTTTTTGGTATGACCGTGAAGGGCGTTAACGGCGTCAGCAACATCTTGCCAATCCTTCTGACGGAGGTTCCCACGGTTAAGCTCGACGTAACGACGACCCCAAGCGTCGACGAGAGTAGAGGTAGCTTCCTCAGACCAACAATCTTCACGGACAGGCAACGGACGGGAGTGGGGAGTGGTGGAAGGAGGGGTGAGGGAATCGGTAAGGTCGCCCATTGAGGGGGGTGGGGGAGGAGGAAAAAAGGGTGGGGTTGGTTTTGGTTAGGGGAAGATTGAGGTTATTGATAGGGGTTAATAGAAAAAAGAGAGAAGGGGGATGAGATCGGTTCGGCAATAACGCGGCGGACACATGAGAGAGGCGTGAGAGTGGGGAAAGGCAATAATAGAAAGAGGGAGAGGGTGAGGTTGGGTCGCCGGGATGTGAGAGAGCGCGTGAGGGTGAGGTGAGGTGAGGTGGGATGGTGGCTTGGGTCATCATCGGATTCGGCTCGGCTACTAATCCAGTTGGCATTTTGACGTTTCGTTTTCGGTGCTGCCCTGGCCTGCTACTACTACTATCAGGCCGAAAAAGTACAAAGAGCCTTGAAGCCTTGATCGTTTTACGGATATTAATCGATAACAAAATTTCTAAATACTACTTCTTATCATCTCTTCTTTTATATACTAACTAAAAATAAATAAACCACTTCATCCAGAAATTTTGTATCTTAAAATGGAAACGTTATAATGCATTTTGGGAGAGGTGTCCTTTTTGTTTGGGGCATTAGTTTTTAGGGGTGACTAATTTTTGTGCCGGTCGGTGGGTCATTCTCATATGTCAATTACCATATTGGAAGATTGTTCTTGTGGGCATTGTTTATTTAATCCATATATATAAATGTAAAGTATCTAAGGTTTGTCTTCCCAAAGCTTTCTCCAGGCTCCTCCAGTCAAAGTGGCTTGTGATAGAGATAAAATTTTGCCTCACATCCCCAGTGCCTTCTTAAGCAATGATTTTCATGTTACATCACCCCATTCATTCAAAAGTTTTTTTTTTTTTTAATTTCACTTTTAACATTATTAATATAAATGCTCGTTAATGAATTCAATCACTTGTTATTATATATACAAAATTTACCAAAAACACAAATTTACAAGTAGTAATTCACAAAAATGAAAATAAGGACTCTGCTCATCTGGTGTTGCATTTCCATCGGCATATAGAAATGCTGTGAATTATGAGCTTTGGTATGAAGGGGCAAAAAAGGAAAAGGGCAGATAAGTAGCTGCGTCCATGTTTGGGAATTATGTTGATGAACGGCAGTACTCACCGGCAGCGTGACGTCAGCCACACGGACTCTAACTTTGGTCTTGGGCTCTTGGCTCGACTCAGCTCTCGGCGCCGTTAGCTTTCAACTATTGTTACGTCGTTGTTTCCCTTAGACCATTATATATTTTTCCCCTTTTAAATTGTCTTTCCAATTTTTCTAGTTTGACCGGGAACGGAACGGGTAATAAAATGATTCGGTTAAAACTTGACAAAAGGCATTGAGCTTTAAAGTTCCGGTTAGCATTTTGTCCTTCTATCCGCGTTTTTTGGGTTTTTGTCTTTGTCCGATATTGCTGAAAAATGGTTCGGCCCTCTTTGACGTAGCACCTTCAGCCTGCTTTCTGACTCAAGACTTTGAGAAAAAAATTTGCCACGTTGATATCATGATTTATGTCAAAAATTAAATTAATAATTATTAAAATTTAAAAAAAATTTAATTATTGTGAAAGAAATTCAAAATTAAAATTTCAAGCCATATTCTCTTCTCATTCGTCAGTATTGAAACGGTTAGTTTCTGTTTATTAATATATATATATATTTTTAATGCACCCGTTTGTTTTAGCTAAAAAAGACATCGAACTACTCCGCCGTACTCTATTGGTCTAGTACAAGCCAAGTTTTACAAGGAGACAGGCCAACGTGTAGCTGATACCACTAATTGAACTGCCAAACCAAATTTTAGGTTTAAAAAAAAAATTAATCCCATCGCCAAACATTGCTTGCATTTACATGCATGGTCGACCACCTCGTAGCCCTGAAATGTTGAGCTTCGACCTTCTTTCCTGCGTACGCTAGCTAGGCATTCCTGATAAAATTGTTTAGAAGAGTGCGGTCTAACCTCATTGTTTTGACCGATTAAAAGGCTTAAAGCTTTTTTTTTTTTTGGTTTTTGATTTAAGATAACTCTATATATATAAAGCCTTAAACAATAAAAAGAAAGTTGTATGATAGAGAAACAGGAGGTCGTAATGTCAAAACAAAGAAAAAAAAAGCTATAAAAAATAAAAAATAAAAAGAGAAAAGAAAAGGAAATGTTGATTTACAGAAATCGATTCATGGTACGATTGAAATAAAATTTTATCAATAAGTTTATAATTCAGAGTTTTACATTTTGAATAGTGAAGATCGAGTTTGAAATTCTCTAAAAATAAATTCATGATATATTTGTTGAGTTACTTATTGGGTGAGATTTCTTTAATTGCCTCTTTAGTTATTGATTAGCTCTAGTTTTAGCTAGAGCAAAATTTTGTATATCTATTATCTGATAGTAGATATTTTTTTTTGGTGGTTTGTAAATTTTTTCTTTATGTTGGAGGAATTTTCACATAAATCTTGATGTGCTTTATTTTTCTTACATTGTTGATTGTTGATTGTTATCTATTATTGTGAGTTTATTGCGATATATTACTTTTACGTTGTTGTGTTTATTGCTTCAGGTCCAATAAGTAGTATTAAAGCAAAGATTATTTTAAAACATCAATACAGAAGCAACTCAAGATAGAAATAAATTCTGTTTGAAATCATGAATGGTGCTATAGGTTTCATGATAAAATTGATAGCATCAAATTATTCAATTTAGAAGCCTGTGATGAAAGATCATTTATACTGTAAAGATTTGTATTAGTCGATATATGAAAGATGAAAGTTGAAAGAAATTAAGTAGAAAAAAAATGGCTACAATAAAAAAATAGGTTGATATCAACATGTTTCATAATGTAGCACAGTAGATAGATGTTCACACTATTTGGAAAAAATTAACAATATTGTATGTAAGAAAAACATGTATGAATAAAGTAATGCTTATTAAAAAGCTTACAACTTTATAGTCAGGGATGAACAATCGATTACAAATAACTTGAGTGATTTTTAAAATATATTTAATCGAATGACTACTATAGAGCTTAAGATGGATAATGAAATAAAAATGTTGTTTCTTTTGGGTTCATTGTCAAATAGTTAAAATACTCTAGTTGTGACTGTTTTTAATTCAGCTTCTGATTATAAAGTGACATTGAAGATAGTAAATGACAGTATGCTTAATGATAAAGCAAGACAAAAAGATTTAGACTCTCAGAATCAAGCTTTTGTCACAAAGAATCGGGTTAAAAACATTGACAGAGGTCAAAACTCATAAAGTGATAGTAAGTCTAAACATATATCCAAATCTAGAGATAAAGTAAAGTGCTTCCATTGTGGTAAAGTAAGTCATATAAAGTGATACTACAAAATGTTAAAGTAAGAGCGAAAAATAAGAAAGATAAGAGTTCAGATGATGACAATATTACAGTAATGAATTCAGATAGTGATTTAATTACTTTTATTTGTACATATAGTGATTGTAATCATGTTGATGATTCCAACATTGAATGAATAGTTAATACAGAAGCGACGTATCATTATGTTCCTAAGAGGAAGTTGTTTACAACTTACAAAATAGGAGAATTTAGTTACACTAAGATGGGAAACAAAAGTGTATCGTAAATTTTTTAGATTGGTGATATTGTTTATAAATTAGTACAGGTTGTATCTTGAATTTGAGGAATATCAGACATATTCTGGATATGAAAATGAACTTACTGCTATTAATATCATTGATAAGGAAGGATATGAGAGTCGATAAAAAATGAGTAGTAAAAGCTTCTTAAAAAATCTATAATAGTTACAAGAAAAAAATTATGTTGCACAATGTATAAGACATGGATGCAATTGAATGGTAATAAGATAAATATTATTGAAGATGATACTTCAGCAAACTTGTAGCATAAAAGACTGACACATATAAGTGAGAAGGGGTTACAATTTAGGCAAAACAGTCTCTCATTCCCTTGATCAAACGTATGTCTTTCGATTAATATGATCATTGTTTGTTTAGCAAGCATCATAAAATTTCTTTTCTTAAGATTTCTAAAAAAAAAATTGAAATTGATCTATTCTAACATATGTGGTCTTATTAAAGTTGATTCATTGGGTGATAACAAGTATTTTATTACTTTTATTGATGATGTTTCACATAAAACTTAAGTGTATATGTTGAAAAATAAAGTCAGATATTGCAATATTTTTAAAAATTTTATACCATGGTGAAAATGATGACAAGACTGTCATTGAAGTGTATTCAGACTGATAATGGTAGGAATACACATCAAAGACTTTAAAAAATATTGTTCAAAGCATGAGATCGGATATGAGATGACAAAACTTAGAACACCACAGCATAATGGTGTAGCTGAAAGGATGAACCACAACATTGTAAAAAAAAGTCAAATGTATGTTGAGGATGATAAAATTACCAAAACCATTTTAGGGTAAAACAGTCAATACAACTTGTTATTTGCTTAACAGATCACCATCAATTCTTTTGGATTTTGATATTTTCAAAAAAAGTGTGTATAGAAAAAGATACTTCATACTCTCACTTAAAAGTTTTCGAGTGTAAAATATTCATGCATGTGTCAAAAGAGCAGAGGTCAAAACTTGACAATAAAATAATACAGTGTGTGTTTGTAGAATATGGTAATGAAAAATTTAGCTATAAAGCATAAAATTCGATGAAAAAAAAATAGTCAGAAGCAAAAATGTAGTCTTTCATAAAAAAAATCATAGCAGACTTCGATAAAAATAAAAAGATTACACGGATTACTATTGAATATAATATTTCAACACCAATAGGGGTTCCATAAGAAAAGGCCATAAATAGTGAAAATGAGTAAAAAATAAAACTTGAAGATATGAATGAACCAGTCACAGTTAGTGATGAACCAGATGCAATTAGTTTTGAGCAGGAGAAGCAATCTCTACCTGAAAGTGTTGAGCATGGGGTAATCTTCTCTACAAGAGAGTGTTGAGCAGGAGAAGCCACCTTCGACATCAGGTGGTGTAAAGTCTCAGCCCAAAAGATCTATTAGAGAGCAAAAGTCATTTACCAGGTATCTAAATTTATATTTTATTTTAGTTACCAGTAATAAGAAGTTAAAAAATTTTTAAGATATGCAGACTACTTTTGATAGAGAGCACTGATTAAAAGCAATGAAAGAATAGATGAAATCATTATAAAAAAAATGATATATATGATTTTGTTAAACTTTCAAAAGGGAGAGGCCATTGAAAAATAAATGGGTGTTCAAGTTAAAAAAAGAATGTGACAAATTAGTGAGGTACAAAACTCGATTGATAATGAAATATTTTTCTTAGAATTCAGGCATTGATTTTGATGAGATTTTCTCTCCAGTTGTGAAGATAAATTTTATTCAAGTGGTATTGGGATTAACAGCTAGTTTGAATCTTGAGCTTGAGTAACTTGATGTCAAAATTGCATTTTTATATGGTGACTTATAAGAGAATATTTATATGAATTAGCCTGAGGGTTTTGAAGTGAAAAGGAAAGAGCACTTAGTTTGCATATTGAAAAAAAAAACTTATATGGCTTGAAATAAGCTCTACGACAGTGGTAAAAAAAGTTTGATTCTTTTATGGTAAGCTATAGCTATAAAAAAATAGCAGCAGATCCTTGTGTATATGTCAAAAAAAATTTTGAT